CGGGGCGGGGGGCTGCGGCCTCCGGCCTCGGCCCCTACCGGGGCCACTGCGGAGCCGCGTCCTTGGCGGGAGGGCCGGCCCGGGGGCCCCCATTTCAGTCGAGTCGGTGGCCGGGCGAGGTAGGACATTGCCCGGCGCCACCTCCCACCCCTCAGTCTGAGGGAGGCGGCTAGCTGCCCGCCTCCCCACCTCCATCTCGGTATCCAAACGGAAGCGCCGGCCTGGGGCGGCGGGAGGGGGTGGGGGAGGCCGGCGGGGTTCGGGAGGTGGGCGCCCGTCGGGTTTTGTGTCATGTCAGTGCCACCCCCGCGTCTTGCACCTGCTGCTCGCAGGCTCCGCTTGCCCGCCCGGGGTGGCGGAGGGCAAGGGCCTGCTGAGCCACCCTGACTGAATTCAGTTTTCTCAGGAGCCACCTGAAAGGTGGGTTATTCTTAGGACTCTCTGCCCCCCCGGTGCCCAAGGCTGAGGTTCCTGTAGGGAAGGGCCTGGTGCTCAGGGCCAGTCCAAACCTGGGCATCTTCTCCGGAAGCATCCCCAGGCCTGCTGGGAACTGGGGACGAGTGTGCTCGCTTTTCCTGGTCCCGGTTAGCCTGCTTGGGGAGGTGGGCTTGGCATTGTCCCGGCCTGGGTAGGAATCCCTTCTAGACCTTTATATCCCAGTCTGGCAAGAATCCTGTAGGAGGCAGTGACAAGGGGGTGTCTAGACCCTTCTCATCTAGCTGGCTTCCTGGCCAGCCTCCTGATGGTTCTTAGGTCACTCTTCGCCCTCTTCTTCCCTACAGAGTTCCATCTGGGCTGGTGTAAAAGCCCCCTGGCAGGAAAGGAGGCACAGTGACCCACCAGCGCTGCTCCCTTTTTATATGGGGGGACACTGTCAGTGATGGGGCTCAGCAGCGGCTTGGAGAAGGAAGCTCTGGCTCCATGTCTATTCTCTTTTTTTAAAAAGAGATGTACTGGGCTGAGAATGTGGCTTTAGTGGTAGAGTGTTTGCCTAGCATGCATGAAGCCCTTGGTTTGATTCCTCAGTATCATATAAAGAGAAAAAAGCCAGAAGTGGCGCTGTGGCTCAAGTGGTAGAGTGCTAGCCTTGAGTAAAAGAAGCTCAGGGACAGTGCGCAGGCCCTGAGTTCAAGCCCCAGGACTGGCCAGAAAAAAAAAAAAAACGTCTTCCTGGACATGCTCAGTGGATGTTGTGAACTCCAGGGAGTACTGTGGGCATGATTGAGAGTGCAAGGTGCTGTTTTGTAGGCCTATAACTTCCAGACACGTTTTATTTATTTATATATGTATTTATCATAAAAGTGATGAACAGAGGGGTTGCAGTTACATAAGTCAGGTAATGAGTACATTCCTTTTTGGACAATATCACCTATTCCTTTATTCCTTCCCCCAGACATCTTTTGAATATCCGCAAACCCAGACAGGTTGAGCCCCCAGGCGTGGTGGCTTGATAGTTGTTAGGTTCTAAGCTAGAGTATTATTTAGGAGCATAGGTACCCGGTGTCTTCCAGATGATCCTGAAGCCCCTTTTCAAGGCATGTCATGCTTTGGAGGGCCCTTGAGGGACCATCTGGGAGTAGATATCTTTCTTACAGATTAGCTGGAAACTAACTGCTGACCCCCTCCCAGCTACAGGCTGGTCTGGTGAAGAAAGGACTAACAGGAGACCTTGCCTTCTATGTATGCTAGACTATTCTGTAGGCACGGCTGGGATTTAGCAAGCCCTCCATTAGGGGAGCCTGATTTTAGAGTTGCCTTTGTTTTTTTTTTTGCTTACTCTGTGACCTGTGGCAAGATTTTGTTCACTGTCAGTTTCTTCAACTGTGAAGTTGGAGTAGAAAACCTGTGCTCCTGGTTCTGGTACAGAAGCCTGTAGGACAGCATCAGCAAAGCAGGTTGACTTTCTGCATTGACTGTGAATTCCTGGCCGAAGCCTCTGGATACCCATTGGGCTCAGAGAGGAATGATGTGTCAGATATGTTGGCCACACTGGCTCCTATTTCCAGTCTTCATAGACAGATGTTCCTTCTCCAGGAGCCTCTGATATAGAATATAGATGAAGCGTGGGGAAGTGAGTAGCAAGTTGACCAAATGTTACTCATCATCCCTCCCCAGCACCTAGCATGGTGTCTGGCACATGGCAGGCAGCACCAAGTATGTTTCAGTTTCAATGCTTGTCAGGACTGTCCTATACTCCCACCTTGCCACACTGGCCCCTGCAGGCAGCAGCATTCTAAAGCTGGTCCAATAGCATCTCCGGCATAAGAGGCATGAGAACACACAGAGGTAGGGAATCTAGACCCAGTGCTGCCCTCTTTGGTATATGCTTCCAACCCAGAGTTATAGACTCCTCTTTCAGTGCTAGGAACCTTAAAGTCCCAGCCCAATGTGTGGTCTTTTTGTAGTTGGTTAATTTGGGGGATGCTGGAGATGAGAGATGAGATGCAGCCTGTATCCAAGGGTCCCTGTGCACCAAAGTGTGAGTAAGCACCTGAACCCACTGTAGCTGCTGTGGCAGTTCCCACCATCTCATCAGGTGCTGTGTTTGGACTGCCTTGAGAGTCCAGGAGAGGGGCCAGGGTTAGGATGCACTGGAAAGATTGCCCCTTTTACACTCACGTGGCTCACACCTGTCATCCTAGCTACTCAGGAGGCTGAGATCTGAGGATTGCAGTTTAAAGCCAGGCCAGACAGGGAAGTCCATGAGATTCTTTATCTTCAATTAACCATCAGAAAACTGGAAGTGGCGTTGTGGCTCAAGTAATAGAAAGTATGCCTTGAGCTGAAAGCTGAGGGACAGCTCCCAGGCCCAGAGTTCAAGCCCCACGGACAAAAAAAAAAGAAAGAATTTAAAAGACCTCACAATGCTTATCCTATGAGCAGCCAGGACTCCCAGCTGGTAACATGTTACAGGGCAACCTGCAAGTTCAATTGTCTTCCCCATCCACCCTCCAGTCTTGGGGCTTGAATTTTAGGCCCTGTCCCGTCCCTGAGCTCCTTTTTGGCTCAGGGCTAGTGCTCTACTAGAGCTGTAGCACCACTTTGAGCTTTTTCTGTAATTAATTAGAAATAAGAGTCTCATGGACTTTCATGCCAGGTCTGGCTTTGAACTGTGATCCTTAGATCTCAGACTCCTGAGTAGCTAGTATTATAGGCGTGAGCCACCATCACCCAGCATTCATTTGTCTTCTTGTAAAGTAGATTTTTTGGGGTGGCATAGTAGCAGGCTTTTCTTCCCTGTTTTAGTGACATAACTTACATACAGCCATAGGCCTTAATGGTGGTCCCGTGTTTTGTGTGTGCAAATGTGTTAAAGATATACAACATTTTCATAACTCTGAGGCTTCCCCTTTTTCAATTTTTCTAAATTTTCAAAATTTTTTGCGGGGCTGGGAAGGTGGCTCAGTGGTAGAGTGTCTCACATGCATGAGGCCCTGGGTTTGATTCCTCAGCATCCCGTAAGCAGAAAAGGCCAGAAGTGGCGCTGTGGCTCAAGTGGTAGAGCGCTAGCCTTGAGCTGAAGAGCTGAGGGACAGCACCTAGGTCCAGAATTCAGGCCCCACAACTGACAAAAAAAAAAAAAAAGCAAAGGAAAAGAAAAATAATTTTTGTGCTAATTTTGGGGTTTGAACACAGGGCCTGGGCACTGAGCTTTTATGCTCAACTCTAGCACTCTACCACTTGAGCCACAGCTCTACTTCCAGGTTTTTTGCTAGTTAATTAGAGATAGGAGTCCCACTGACTTTACTACCCAGGCTGGCTTTGAACTGTGATCTTAGATCTCAGCCTCCTGAGTAGCTAGGATTATAGGTGTGAGCCACCAGCACACCTGTTCAAACAGCTTCCTGTTGCCTCATCAGCTCATGCCTATATAGGTAGCCATCAGCCTTGTCCCCATGGAGTATTCATGCCTTCTTTCAAGGAGTTTAACTTTTCCTTCTTGTCTGTTGAGAATCTGACCCTTAGGTATGAGACTTGCTAGCCCTAGAAGGCAGTGATAGTTTTGGGTAATGGCATGAATCCGTCTTAATCAAGTCTTCCTTGGTATTGGCACTAGGTATATATATATTATCCCACCAAACTTGAGGGACAGCAAATGCTCCCTAACCTGAACATTCGCTGTCCCTCTGCTTCAAGTTTGGTCCAAGGAATTTTTTTTTAATTTATTTTATTTGTGAACATACTGTACAGAGGGGTTACAATTACATGGGCAGGATAATGCGTACATTTCTTACCAAGCATTGCAGCCTCCTCCTTTGGTTTACCCTTCACATCCCTTCCCAGCCGCCCCCCTCCCCCCCAATCCCAATCCTTCTCCTCCAAGGAATTTTTTAGGAGCAAAGATTCCTTGCACTACAATAGTTGTTTGACTTTCAGCAACCCTTCCTGACCCTTCTGCTTGCGAACTGGCCTGGGTGGGGTTTAGGGTTCCAGCTTGGGTGTTCCCTAGGTTCAGTTGGAGATAAAGAATAGGTAGGGCTGGGAAGGTGGCTCAGTGGTAGAGCGCTTGTCTTGCAATGCCTGAGGCCCTAGGTTCGATTCCTCAGCACTACATAAGCAAAAAGAAAAAAGCCGAAAGTGGCACTGTGGCTCAAGTGGTAGAGCGCTAGCCTTGAGCTGAAGAGCTGAGGGACAGCGCCCAGGCCCAGAGTTCAGGCCCCACGTTCAGACACCCCCCCCCAAAAAAAAAAAAAAAAGAATAGGTAGAATAGTTTGGATGGGCTTGTCCATGGGTGTCATCCAGAACTGAGCTTGCCACCAGTGTTATCCATACCAAGTTGGAATCTCCTGATCACCCTTCCTGTTTCAGGTCACTGAAGAGGACAGGAAGCCTAGAGGTTAGGAGAGAACACCAAGCAAAGCCTTGGATCTCATTCCTTGGGTCCTGGTCTCTTGCACACTGCCATATCCAGGGACTCTTTGTCTAGTCTGCCCTAAACTTGAGGTTCTGGAGCCACTGACTCTAAATATCTAGCTGATTCTAGGCCAGGCTTCTCTGTAGTGTAGCAAACCTGGGGTGGAGGCCTCGGGGCAGTCCATTTATGATGCTGTCCTGGGCGTCTCCCTGCTTACAGGAAACCCCACCATTTCAACAAGAGGAATTTAGGCTGCATCATTTCCCGCTTCCTGACTGGCAGACCCCTGACCCTGTGATGCTTAGGCGTAGGGGGAGGGGTTTTTCCATTCCTGGGTGCCTCACATGAAAGCATCCTAGGGCTCTCGGCATAGATAGCCAGTCCCTTCCCCGTGAGCCCTTAGCAAGGTGTAGAGTGGTCACCTTGTGCATCAGTCATTGCCCTATTTTGTGAGATCCCTAAAGAAGCCTATATCTAAAGATTTAAGCTTCAGATTCCTGTCTGCATGTTTCATTGGGGGCCACATGGTGTGGGCAAAGCTTAGGCTTCCCTACAACTCTGGGAATATTTATGGGAGTCCTTGGGCAGAAGGGCCTGAGAATCAAATTCTGATTGGGAGAGATTCCCATCACCCAAGCTTTTGCCTCCTCTGCAGGGGTTGTGGGGAAGTAGGAGAAGCACTGCTGGGCACCATGAGCACTGACAAGACTAGGCCGGCAGCAAGACCCCACCCCCAGGCCAGGCTTCCTGAGCCTAGGCGGGGCCTGGACAGAGCTGAGTGTCCTGAGAGGCTCCCTGCCCCCACTCTGGACAGCACACAATGGCTGCTTTCTCCCCCATGACCTTTCCTTTCCGTAGCTCCAGTTGTATGGTTGCCTCCTCCCCTCTCCCTAGGGGCCTGGGTTGGGTGGCATCTTCCCTACCCTTAAAGGGCTTGGGAACTCCCACCCAATCTTAGCTTCCTCCTTGTTTCCAAAGTTTGCATCTCCCCAAGGAATGGAGAGTACTTCTTGGGGTTCATGCCTGTCCAGGGCTACAGGGACAGAAGGTAGCAGCAAATATAGACCTAGCCTGTCTTTTGTCAAAGTGCCTGAGTTCTCATTCTAGCAATTCTACTCACTAGTTGTGTGACCTTGAACAGGCCCTCTGACTTCTCTGAGCCATTGTATCTTCTGGCATTGTAAAGGTATCATACATAAAGCCATTCACATGGCACACAGTAGATGTTCAGTGAAGGTTAGTTCCTTTGCTCTATCCCTCTTTGTTCCCTCCCCCACCATACTGGGCTTTGAACTCAATGCCTTGCACTTACTAGGCAAGCATCTACCACTTGAGCTATGCCCCAAGCCCTGTCCATTCTCCTTAGATGGGGCTGCAGCTCGTAGTGGTGGTGGTGGGAGGCTTAAGCCTGAAAGGGCCTCTTACCTGCCAGTGTGAGGGCAGGAGTAGGAGCTGTGGGAAGGCTGCTACCTCTGGCAGGTGCTGACAGAACCTGGGTGCAGGAGAGATGTGGCACTGACCCAGAACAGCAGAGTGCTCACAACTATGTAGCATATGGCATCAGGGTCATATTCCATAGGGGATCCTTGCTTTCCTATAGAAGAGTTGGGCAGCAGAACTTGCTCTCTGCGGAAAGGCTGTGAGACTGGTATTGGTGGCTTTAGGATAGGAAGCTGTACGGACTGAATGGGTCCTGGAGATCATGTGTTCCCAGAGGGGCAAGGCTGTGTAGAAAAGGGTGTGGCCCTGTCAGCCCTAAGCTTCCAGGCCTGGGGAAAACCTCTCATCTATTACCTGGTGTGGACTGTCATCCCAGCTTCTAGGCTTTTAGGGAATAAGTGATTGAGCAGGAAGCACTAAGCATAGTACCATTTTACAGTGGGAGTTCTGGAGGTCATGCTCATCCTCCCAATCCAGCTGACTTTCCCTTCTTCCTCCCTGCAGACCCTGGTTGGGCATCTATCAGTAGGGGTGTGCTTGTGTGTGACGAGTGCTGCAGCGTGCACCGGAGCCTGGGACGCCACATCTCCATTGTCAAGCACCTTCGCCACAGCGCCTGGCCGCCCACACTGTTACAGGTAGGGGCCGGGCCACCGTTTCTCCTTCCAGTACAGACCATGTGCTGAGCCTGGGCATTTCCCCTCTACCAACTTTTTTTTTTTTTTTGGCCAGTACTGTGCTTGAATTCAGGGCTTGGCTATTTCTCTTAGCTTCTTCTCTCAAGGCTAGCACTCTATCACTTGAGCCACAGCTCCATTTCCAGCTTCATGGTTACTAATTGGAGATAAGAGTCTCATGGACTTTCCTGCCTTGGCTGGTTGAAACTTGATCCTCAAATCTCAGCCTCTTGTTTAGCTCAGATTACAGGCATAAGCCACCAGTGCCGAGATTATCCCCCATACCAATTTAGACACCTGTCTGCAATCTGCAGCTTCCAGGAGCAGCACCTCTCTGGGCAAGTCTTATTCTGACCCTTTCCATCCTCAACCCACAAAGAAGGGAAAGTCTAAGCCTAGCTCTGCCATGTATTAATGAACAGATAGCTTTGAGCAAGTCACTTAGCCTCTCTGAATTTTGGCAAAGTTTGCCATTTCATTTAGCTATCCTGAAGCACTAAACAGAACCATAGACTTTGTGGCCTTACTAGATGGAATCATGGAGTCACAGTAGGACCCTTGGTGCGATTCTAACAATGTTAAGTACTCAGAGTATGTTTGCCTCAGTGTCCAGCATGCAGTGGGCACTCTTAACTTGGCATCTCTTCACTGCAGATGGTCCACACACTCGCCAGCAACGGGGCCAACTCCATCTGGGAGCACTCCCTGCTGGACCCTGCACAAGTGCAGAGTGGCCGGCGCAAAGCCAACCCCCAAGACAAAGTCCAGTAAGTGGGGCTATCGGGGTGGTAAGGAGAGCTGTGTGTGCCTGGCCAGGGGTGCTGGAGGTATCTGGGTTGCCTGTCTTTCCTGCTCTTTGCATTGTCTCCTTTGTGCCCCACGCAGCCCCATCAAGTCAGAGTTCATCAGGGCCAAGTACCAGATGCTGGCGTTTGTGCACAAGCTCCCCTGCCGAGATGACGACGGGGTCACCGCCAAAGACCTCAGCAAGGTTTGGGGGTCCACACAACAGATGAGCAGGCCTCTTCTCTTCCCAGACCCATGACACCTAAAGCCTTTCCTTTGTCACCACTGGGCCCTGATCCCAGAGATGGGACAACAGTGGGGGTAGAGGGAAGATTGCTCTGTCAAGTTCCAAGTAGACACACAAGTCTAGAATCCTCCAGCTGTCATTGATACTTAATTTTTGTTGTTGTTGTTGCTGCTGTTATTCTGGAGTTTGAACTCAGAACTTGCGAGGCAACTGCTCTACTATACCCAGCTGCCATTGAAAATTAGAAAAATTTGGGACTGGGAAGGTAGCTCAGTGGTAGAGTGCTTGCCTTGCATGCATGAGGCCCTGGGTTCAATTCCTTAGCATCACATAAACAGAAAAAGCTGGAAGTGACGCTGTGGCTCAAGTGGTAGAGCACTAGGCCTTGAGCTGATGAGCTGAGGGACAGCGCCCAAGCCCAGAGTTCAAATCCCACGACCAACCAAAAACAAAACAAAACAAAAGTAGAAAAATTTGGGACAGTTATTTAATCACTTTAGAGACTCAGTTTCCTCATTTGGAAAGTGGGAAATGATAGTATCTACCTCCCTCACAGATATTATTTCTTCGAAACAGCACACAACACATGGTAGATATAGGAGCAGTTTTTTTATTTTTTGTTTTTAGACGTCTTTCATGTCTCCTGGGTGCTGGAATTACAGGTGTATACCACCATACCTGGCTAAATTGTTGTGGGGGAAGGTGGGGTGCACTGAAATAAGGGGTCTTGCTATATAGTGCAGGCTGGTTTTGAACTCATGATCCTCTTCTTTGCCTCCTTAAGGGTAGGATTACAATCATGTGCCACAAAGCCTGTCTCAACAGTTTTCATTAATAGTAATACTAGTAGGAAGCCCTGTGTCCTGCCTGACATGGCTCAATGTTTGGCTGGGCCACCTGGAGCTGGGAGGAGTTCTAGGGGCAGCTCAGGCCATGTGTAGCTTAGGGATGGGAACTAGGGTTTTTGCACACAGATTAATTGCACACTCTACTCTTTCCAGCAACTGCATTCGAGTGTACGGACAGGCAACTTGGAGACATGTCTGCGCTTGCTGTCCCTGGGTGCCCAGGCCAACTTTTTCCATCCAGAGAAGGGCACCACACCTCTGCATGTGGCTGCCAAGGCAGGTCAGACGCTGCAGGCAGAGCTGCTGGTGGTTTATGGGGCTGACCCTGGCTCTCCTGATGTCAATGGCCGCACACCCATCGATTATGCCAGGTGAGGGTCAGGTGAAGCTAAGGGCTTGAGTGGAAGGACTGGGCTACTTCTGCAGGGCTGAGCCATGCCCCTCCCCACAGGCAGGCGGGACACCATGAACTGGCGGAAAGGCTAGTGGAGTGCCAGTATGAGCTCACTGACCGGTTGGCCTTCTACCTCTGTGGACGCAAGCCGGGTGAGCAGAGTATGAGGATGGGCCTGGCTGGGCTAGGCAGGTAGGACCCAAACACACCCCAACAGCAGGTGCCTTAGTTACAAAGCCAGCTAGGGAACGGTGTTGCTAGGCAACTGCCTCCTGTGAGACTGCTGCAGGCTCTTGGGTTGCTGCAAGCACTTTGGGGCCAGGGAAGTGGGGTGGGCCTGACTTCCGGCCAGCTTCCAGCACTCTTGAGGTGGCCTGTCCTCCTTCCTATCCCGACACATCCAGGTGCCAAACCCTGCTCATGGCATTGAGATGCGCTCTTGAGCTGCTGAGGCCACCCAGCATCAGTGACTTTGCATTTTTATTTTTGTTCAGATCACAAGAATGGGCATTACATCATCCCACAGATGGCTGACAGGTGAGTGCCCACCTGATACCCTTTTCCAGAGGCTGTTAGATCCAAGTGGTGCCCAAACCGAGAGCCCCATTCCTCCCCTTCCTAATACTTGGAGCACCAATGCAGGTCAGATATGTTTTTTCAGCATGCACCAGCTCCATCTGACTGTTAAATACATGCAGCACTGAGCTCAAGGAAAGGCTTAAGCCAGGATGGTGGACAGCTAGGTACTGACCTTCTATACAATCTTTAGGGTAGGGCTTCCCTTTGTGCAGAGAAGTGGGCTTTGGAGTTAGCCAGCTTTGGTATTGCTGGCCAGTCCTCCGGTGTGTCCCAAATTGGGCAGGAGTTCTGGGCAGGGTACAGATGGGGTGCTTCTGCCTCTGCTCTTTTTTTGTTTTTTGTTTTGTTTTGTTTTTTGATCGGTCGTGGAGCTTCAACTCTAGGCTTGGGCTCTGTCCCTGCACTCTTCAGCTCAAGGCGAGCGCTCTACTGCTTGAGCCACAGCACTACTTCCGGTTTTTGAGTGGTTTATTGGAGATAAGAGTCTCATGGACTTTCCTGCCTGAGCTGGCTTTGAACTGCGATCCTCAGATCTCAGCCTCCTGGGTAGCTAGGATTACAGGCGTGAGCTACCAGCGCCTGGCTGCCTCTGCTCTTAAGCCCTTAAATGCCCATATGGTCACCCAGCTTACAGGATGGGTGCTGGCGCCACCTGGTGGCCCTTAGATGGCTCCATCTTCCTATCTGGCTGCACTTCCTGGCCCAACTTGGGGCCTTCCTCACCAAGGGCTTGGGGCAGTCAGACAAGGGCAGCTCAGATCCCTAACTCAGACCTTCTCTGTAATAAGACTCTGCTTTACTTTGTGGTCTAGTTTTGCTTGGTGTATGCATGCATGCCTGGTATATATAGTAAACATGCCCACGGATGGATTTACCTTCAGTGATTGCTAACTAGTACTGTCTCAGAGCTAGCTGGTACTCTGGGGACACAGAGGTCACTCAGACACCATCCCTTCCCTTGAGGAACTGCAGCTTCACAGAGGCACCTAGCCTAGCCGGCTCTGTAGACCACTGAACAGAGAATAGTAAGAGACGAGGATGAAGAGCTTAGAAATTATCTACTAAGGGGCTGGGAAGGTGGCTCAGTGGTAGAGCGCTTGCCTTGCATGCATGAGGCCCTGGGTTCGATTCCTCAGCACCACATAAGCAAAAAGAAAAAACCCGGAAGTGGCACTGTGACTCAAGTGGTAGAGCACTAGCCTTGAGCTGAAGAGCTCAGGGAGAGCACCCAGGCCCAGAGTCCAAGTCCCATGACCCACAATAAATAAATAAAGTAATAAAGTAATAATAACAAATAAATGTTGTTGGAAAAGAAAAAACTCATCAGGTGCCAGTGGCTCACACCTGTAATCCTAGCTACTCAGGAAGCTGAGATTAGCTCAGGGCTAGCGCTCTACCACCTAAGCCACAGCACCACTTCCCGTGTTCTGGTATTGGAGGTAAGTGTTTCACGGCCTTTTCCTGCCTGGACTGGCTTTGACCCACGATCATTATATTTCAGCCTCCTGAGTAGCTAGTATTACAGGCGGGAGCTACTGGCACCCGGCTGAGCGCTAGCCTTGAGCTGAAGAGCTGAGGGACAGAGCCCAAGCTCAGAGTTCAGGCCCCACGACCAGACCCCCCCCCCAAAAAAAGAAATTATCTACTAAGAACTGCACAAAGCTTATGTGACAACAGAGAACAAGGCTGGATAGAAGCAAGAGAATAACTAGTCCTGTGAGCCTCAGTGAGAGCTGTGAGCAGCCTGAGGGCAGAGTTCTGAGCATAGGTAGTGGAATCAGCTCTGCACTTAATTACTGGCTATATGATAGGAGGCAGGCTGCTTAACCTTTCTGAGCCTTAGTTATCTTACCTGGAAATGGAAGTGTAATTGGTGGGAGGATTAAGTAAGGCAGTACATACAAAATGCTTTGCATATTATTTAAAAAGCTTTTGGATGAAGTCTAATTGGAGTGGTTGGGGGGGTTTTTTGGTCAGTTGTGGAGCTTGAATTCTGGGCTTGAGCCCTGTCCCTCAGCTTTTCAGCTCAAGGCTAGAGCTCTACCACTTAAGTCACAGTTCCACTTTCAGTTTTCTGGTGGTTTACTGGAGATAAGTCTCACGGGCTTTCCTGCCTAAGCTGGATCTGAACCATGATCTTCAGATCTCAGCCTCCTTAGTAGCTAGGATTACAAGTGTGAGCCACCAGCGCCGGCTGGAGTATTCTTTTAAGTACATATTACTGTTGAAGTGTTTGTTTTTAAGGTGGGGTGTGTCAAAAAGATCACCTTGGTGACTAGAAGGAAAAGGAATTTTAGGGGCCAGATTGGCAGGTGGATTGGATACTTGCAGAAGTTCAGGTGAGAGGAAAAGATGGGAGAACTGGGAAGCCTGGCTGGAATTTGAGGGGAGACTACAGGTATCGGCAGGAAGTAGACTGACAGGTCACTGAGAAAGGGGTGGGAGGCAAGTGCCTTTTTGTATGCTCTGGGTCGGGATGTGTTTGAGCATGATGTGAGAAGGTGTGTGCTGCCCTGCTCCTAGATAATTGCTGCTCTGTCCTCTTCTTCCCTACACTGCCTTCCTCTGGACTTAGATCTCGGCAAAAGTGCATGTCTCAGAGGTATACTGTGCCTGCCGGCTGCAGGCTGTCAAGTTTGGGTAGGGTTGGGAGGCTTGGTGTGTGTGTGTGTGTGTAGCATGAAGGTCTTGTCTCCCTGAGATCCTTGCATGTTTGGGAGAACCCCGGCAGTGGCGTGGCCACCTCTCATGCATGGCTTCTCCCCTTCTCCCTCTTCTGTAGCCTTGATCTGTCCGAGTTGGCCAAAGCTGCCAAGAAGAAGCTACAAGGGGTAAGTCTGCTTAGACAAGCTAGTGATGCTTAGAGCTGCCCCACCCTATGCCAGCCTTACCAATCTCCCTGTGCCCTCCCCACACCCTTGGCCTTGACCCCAGCTCTGCCCTTCAAAGCGTTAGGGTCTCCTCCTGGTCTGTGAGAGAATGACCAAGTCTGGCCTTCTGTCTTTTTCCTACTAATAGCTTAGCATATAGACCCCCTGCCCACATCCCATTTCTAAGACCAGGGGACTGAGGACATGAGTCATTCTCCAGTCTCCATGTCGCACAACATCCTGGTGATCTGCCCTTGTTGGCAGCACCAGGGCTAGTTGCTTTAGTAGAAGTTGGATCCCCCCCTCTCTGTCCGCAGCTCAGCAACCGGCTTTTTGAGGAACTTGCTATGGACGTGTATGATGAGGTGGACCGAAGAGAAAATGATGCTGGTGAGTGGGGGGCAGCCTGCTGGGAAGGGCTGTGACCCGGCCTGGACCTCTGCTCCATTAGTGGGACTAAGAAGGGTTAGGTAGGGTTGGGCTGCATGGAAACCTACTGCTTCCTCCTCACCAGGCAGGCAGTGTGTGCCAAACTAGGCAGCCAGCTGCTTCCCTACCCCTCCCTGCACTGAGGCTCATCTCTATTCTGGCTGCCTCCCACTTTGGCTGCCTCCCCAGCCCTGCTCCGCCCTCCTTCATCACTCCTTCCTGGCCACAGCCAGATACCAGCCCAAACTCTGGTCTGGCCTGGCAGGACAGGCCTTGTTCTGCTTATCAGTCCCCAGTGGGCCTCACCCTCTCTTAGCTGGCTTCGTGTGTGTGGAGACCACCTATGTCTGATACCAGCAAAGTGGGTGTAGGAGGGAGCTTGAAGGGCTATCTTCAGCTTTCCTCCCCCCGCTACCCCCCCAACCCGTGACTGGATGATCTGCTCCCTGTCCCTCCCCCAGTGTGGCTGGCTACCCAAAACCACAGCACCCTGGTGACGGAGAGAAGTGCTGTGCCCTTCCTGCCAGTTAACCCTGAATACTCAGCCACACGGAATCAGGTGAGGTGACTGGGAAGGGGTTCTGGGTAGTTTCCTTTCTTTTCAGAGCCCTGTGGGATGTCTCCCTCAGGGTCTAGGTGGCATGGGGTTTTGGATTGGGAAGAGACCTTCTGAGCATTTGGGAAGTATTCCAGCTCCCTTGAGCCTGTTTGTTGGCCTGGCCTGGGGCAGCCATGCTGCTGACGGGGAATTTTTAGCTATGGCTGTGATTGAGTCAGACAGACAGAAGGGTGTTGCCTTGCTGTTTTGTTCTACCCTATAGGTCAGCAATAAAGGTCCTCTCATCCCTCATGTGGGCCTGGCACTTTCTGCTTTTCAGGGACGACAGAAGTTGGCCCGCTTTAATGCACGCGAGTTTGCCACCTTGATCATTGATATTCTCAGTGAGGCCAAACGGAGGCAGCAGGGCAAGAGCCTGAGCAGCCCCACAGGTAGGGCATGTGTGGGTGTGGGCTTCCATGCCGCCCTTGCATGGGGACATATAAATGGCTGGAGTGGCAGAGCAAGCCTGGGGTGACAGGTCTTGTATCCTCAGAGAACCTCGAGCTGTCTGCGCGGAACCAAAGTGACCTCGACGACCAGCACGACTACGACAGCGTGGCCTCTGATGAGGACACGGACCAGGAGCCCCCACGCAGTGCCAACGCCACTCGGAACAACCGTGCCCGGGTCTGAGCATCGTCCCTCCTTTGTCCCTCCTATACTTGCCTCTGGGTCTCAATCAAGGCCCAGCTCGGTGTCGCAGCCTAGAGTCTTGGGAACAGTAGGCTGGTCATAGCTTGGAGGGTGTCTTCCCCCTGCCCTTGTAGCTGATGGGCTTTGTCTCTGCAGAGCATGGATTCTTCGGATCTGTCTGATGGGGCCGTGACGCTGCAGGAGTACCTGGAGCTGAAGAAGGCCCTGGCTACCTCTGAGGCCAAAGTGCAGCAGCTCATGAAGGTCAACAGCAGCCTGAGTGACGAGCTCCGGAGGCTGCAGAGGGAGGTGTGGACTGTGGCCTAATGGGAGGGGTAGGAAGGCTTCTAGACACAGACTGGGATTGTTTTCCAAAAGATGGACCCCATTGTTAAGCACTGTCATGTGCACTCACAGATCCACAAACTGCAGGCGGAGAACCTGCAGCTCCGGCAACCATCAGGGCCAGTGCCTACACCCACATTGCCCAGTGACCGGGCTGAACACTCAGCCATGGGCACCAGTGGGAGCAGCCATCGCCGGGACCGCCAGGCCTTCTCTATGTATGAGCCAGGCTCTGCCCTAAAGCCCTTTGGGGGTGCACCAGGGGACGAGCTAAGCACGCGACTACAGCCTTTTCACAGCACTGTGAGTTGCCTGTAGGTCTTGGGTGGGGAAACGTGAATGGGGGTTACCACAATGCCTCCATGATACCAACTACGCTACCCCACCCCAGGAGCTAGAGGATGACGCCATGTATTCCGTGCATGTGCCTGCCAGCCTTTACCGGGTAAGCAGGGCCTGGGGAATGTGGATCCAAGCCTCTGTGGGCTTGAGACCAGGCTACAGTGACATGGGCCCTCCTGCAGGTAGGTTCGGCCTAGAGTAGAAACTGACGGTGACCTTGATCTGGCTTTCAGATTCGGAAGGGGGTGTCTGTGTCGGCCTCCGCCTCTGCCTCCGCCGTGCCCTTCACTCCCACCTCCCCGCTGCTGTCCTCCCAGGAAGGAAGCCGCCATATGGTAACATTTCCACACCACTGCCCCAGGATAGAGTTAGGGGAATGTGGGCTGTGCGGGGTCACCCTCCACCTTTTTTCATGCCCTCCAGAGCAAGCTTTCCCGCCATGGAAGTGGTGCCGACAGCGACTATGAGAACACACCTAGTGGGGACCCACTGCTTGGGTGAGACACTCGGTTCTCCACCCGAGTGGTGCCTTGCTGGCACCAGGAAGGGGAGTGATGGAGAGGGCTTGAGTGTCTATGGGCAAGCAGCCTATGGCTCTAATGGACCTCCCTTTTCCAAACCTGGGTTCAGGCTGGAAGGGAAGCGGTTCCTAGACCTGGGCAAGGAAGATGATATCCACCCTGAGCTGGAAAGCCTGGATGGAGACCTAGACCCTGGACTCCCCAGTACTGAAGATGTCATCCTGAAGACAGAGCAGGTCACCAAGAACATTCAGGAGCTGTTGCGGGCAGCCCAGGAGTTCAAACATGATAGGTAGGGGTGTGGGTTGCTTATTGCTCTTGAGGCAGAGTGGGGGGGAATCCTTAATAGCCCCTCACCCATCCCTCCCCCTCTCCCACAGCTTTGTGCCCTGTTCAGAGAAGATCCATTTGGCTGTTACTGAGATGGCCTCTCTGTTCCCAAAGGTACTGGGGCTAGCCAGGAGAGGAAGGGGAGGAGCTTGGGTGGGGCAGCAGCTGGGAACCTGACTGCTGCCCAGGTGGAGACCCACGCCCAGTGGGCCGCTGTCAGGTGCTTGGCTTAAAGTCCAAGGCCCAGCCTCCCTTGTCTCTTTCGTTCAGAGGCCTGCCCTAGAACCAGTGCGCAGCTCACTGCGGCTACTCAATGCCAGCGCCTACCGGCTGCAAAGTGAATGCCGGAAGACAGTGCCCCCAGAGCCTGGGGCCCCTGTGGACTTCCAGCTGCTGACTCAGCAGGTGATCCAGTGCGCCTATGACATCGCCAAGGCTGCCAAGCAGCTGGTCACCATCACCACCCGAGAAAAGAAGCAGTGACCACTCTCCCTGCCCTTGCCCATCTCCTGTGACCTCATTGTCCACGGGAGCTGGGCCACTCCAAACACTAACCCACCCCAACAGAGCCACTGGCACAAGTGCCCTTAGTGCTGCCACTCTCCCCAGGCAGCCAAGTGCCCTGGTGCCCACCCCCTCAAGCATCCTTATGGATGAGGAGGTGGGGTGGCAGGTCTTCTGTCCCCCACATTCCATGCTCTTCCCTCCCCTGTACATAGCATCCTCTCCTTTCTGGTGTGCAGGGGCCTACAAGGCACCTCCCACTAGCCCCTCAACCTGCCCTCAGGGCACCCTCAGCAAAGGGTCTGACAGGGACACTCCAAATGGGGCAGCTCCTACCTATACCCCACCCCCATGAGCCAGTTCAGCCCTATTGGGGGCTGAGCGGGGGCATCCCCATCCTTTGTATATAATCTCTTGGATGTCCTCGCCCTGTAGCCACCAGCCCCCTTGCTGCTCTCCTTTAATGCCAAACTGGCCCCTGCCTAGGGCAAAGACCCAACCTATGTGCTGGGGTCCCCAGCAGCAAACACTGGAAAATCTTTTCTTTCCTCTTCCTGACCCCTTAATTTTAACTTTGTGGTAACTGAGTGTCCCTGCGTGAGAGTGTGCGGGCGGCAGTGCCGTTCAGAGGGCTTGCCTGTGTGGAGCTTTGGGTGGCAAGGGGACCAGAGCAGTGGGACCAGCATTGGGGGGTCAACCTTCCTCTCTTCAACTTGGAGCCAGGGACTGCCAAGGTCACCAGCTGTGAACCTGCTGCTGCTCCACTCATACCCCTGCTCTAAGAACTTAAAAGGAAAACCACTTCCCTCCATCTTTTCTCCCACCCTTGTGGGGGGAAGTGTGCTGGTCAGGTGGAGGACTGAGCACCTAAGCCTGGGGCTGGCTCCCCAGGGTTCCCAACTCAGCCAATGGCTGTGGAGCTGAAAGCCCCTCTCCCTAACTTTGGCAAGGCCAGCACCTACATCACTACCTGCACCTGTGTTGGTCCCACCCTCTGGAGGCCTGGGAACCTGGCTGCAGCCAGGAATGCTGGAGAGGCATCCACCAGCTCTCCGCATCTGCCTCCCCCAAGGGGCAAGGCCCTACCTGCGTGGTGACAGGTGGGCTGTCAAGATATGTGTCATGTACATTTGTATCAAAAATAAATAAGTGACCATGGGTTGCTTCTGATACTTAGATTGGGGTGGGAGGGAAACAGATGGAAGACAAACCTGGAAAAGCCTGGAACATAGAAGACCTGGTGCTAAGGAAGTCCCGGTGCTGGAAAAACCCAGATGAACATATCAATAGGAATACTCGCCAGACACCACCACGCCCTACTGACACACCCACACCCCTGAAGGCCTGTTGACTTAAGCTAGAGCAGGTGGGCTGCCAGGGGCCCAAACCAACTATGAAAAATCACAAATACAGCCAGCGTGGCCTAGGGCTGGTTTCCTGAGGCAACGGGACTGTCGGATGCACAGCCTCCACTCCTAGCTCTACTAAAATAATTTAATTAGGGAATTGGGGCAAGGGAGGCTGAAAGGGCCCCTCTCCTAACCCACCCCCATTCCCTGGCCCAGGAAGCCTTGGCAACGTGCAGGCAAGGTCCCTTCGCCTGCCGCCAGGGGGCCCCCGTGAGTGCGGCCCACGTGGCAGAGGTGGCGGCCGCTCAGAGGGAGGAGGAGCTGGGGCGCGGGGCCCGGCCGGGCCTGGCCGGTCAGTCGGAGCTCTCCCCGTCCGGACCGCTGTCTGGCGCCGGCGGAAGCAGGGGTCTTCGACGAGAGCGCTTGACCCGGCGCGGGGCCATCAGCAGCCGCCGCTTCAGCACAGCTGTGGGCAGCAGGGTGCGGTCAAGGGCGGGGAAGCCCTGGGGCGTGGTCGAGTGGGCGAAGGGTGGGCGGGGGCTTCTCACCGGCCACCGTGTCCTGGCTGTCTGCTGTGGGCCCCCAGTAGATACTGTCGCTGCGGCGGAAGTTTCGGTGTAGCCGCGTGCAGAGCGTGGCCAGGGTGAGCAGCACTAGCAGGAAGGTCAGGGCCATGGCGGCCCAAGCAGCCTCCTCCGTGCGCGGGGTGGGGCCCCGGGCTACCCGGGGTGGCGCTGCTGCCCGAGGGGCCATGGAAGCCTGACTTGGGCAGGCACAGCCCTGTGAGCTGCCTTGCCCCTTGGGTATCTGAGCCCCTGTCCTAGAGCTGGCATTTCCTCCAAGTCCTCCAGGCAACAAGGGAACAGAGGGCATAGATGAGGCATTATCCTCCTCACCCAGGGTTCCCAAAACGGGCTGTTGGGCCTTTAAACTCCAAGAGGAAGCAGAAGGACCCCTCAGGCCTGAGGAAGTAGGCGACTGGACTTCAAGGACAGCACGCAGGCCTCGTTTCTTGGCACCACTGGAAGATCTCCTGGGACCTCTGGATGCCACCTCTGCACCAGGAGGCCTCCAGCTCCGCAGAGCAAAGGCCAACGCTGGGGCCTAAGGGAAAAAGAGTTCACCCTTGCCCTGCTCAGATAACCCAGTGACCACAGCACCAACTAGCCTGGGCCCAGCACACCCCCCTCGCCTGCACACACCCTCTCTGGCACAACCTCCCTCTGCTGGGGGTTGACACAAAGAAAGAGGGCCCAGAAAGACTGTTAGAATGAAACCATACTTTCTTCCTTTGTTTCCTCCACCGCCTCCTCTTCAGCCAGTGGGCAGCCCAGGCTGGCTCTACCCACGCCATCTCCAGCGCCATCCCCCATGCTGTCAGCACCAGGGGCTATGAAAGGAAGTAGCTGTTAGAACTAAGATGAAGACAGAGCAAGAAAAAGCCCCTGAGTTTTCCCTTCTCTGCATGTGGGGCTGGACCCTCCTGCCAGTGCCAGACAACACACCTTTCCTCAACTACTCACCCGGTCCCTAATGAGATTGGAATCAGGGATGACTGTGGGGTTAGACACACAAATGTGAGCCAGAAGGACAAGCTGGAGCTTTAGCCAGGGGTGGGCACAGGGGTGGTAGAGAAAAGCGACGCCCTCAGCCTGAAGGAAAGGCACAGAGACATCAGGTTAGGCCCCTCCCAAAGTATCACATATGTCTGTCTTGAAAAGCAGCATAAAGGGCTGCAAGATGGCTAGATGACCCTTCCAGGAAAAGGCACTGAGTATTGCATGCACTCCCTCTTGCCACTGATCTTCCAAAACAGCATGCCTGGGTAAAGCTGTCAGACTCTCACTTAAGTATATTCCTTTAACCCTGTGATAATGGCTCTACCAGTCCCCAGTCCAGGCTGTACTCATGCCCTTAAATGAAGACCAAGTCTATTTGTTGAATCAATCTGTATGATCATCTCCCAAGAGCATCTGAACATCTAGCACGCATGCAGCAGTCACACAATTTCAGAATGGAAAAACTTAACCAGTCATTATCTTTGATCACACTGGCTGCGTGTTCAGCACTGTACTAGATGCTGTAGGAGATGCCAAAAGAGAACTCTTGGATTCTGCCTGCAAGGGATGCATAAGAAATGCAGGGAGGCAACACAAGTGAAAGAGCAAACTAGTAAACTCAAAAGTGGTCAGATAATTTTAAGATAGGTTATAAGCACCAAAGGATTCAGAGGAGGGGGATGAAGAAAGGCTGACAAGACTAGGCAAGGTGGGGTGAGAGGATGGAGGTGGATGTCAAGAGGGCAGTGAACTGCAGGCTTCATGTCAGAATAGGTCAGGTGTGGAGAAATAATAAGCAGACCAACAAGGTGACTGAAAGGAACGCAAGATTTGAAGAGATCAGATGAAACTAATTTAACTAAGGCCTGAGAAGCCAGGCAGGAGAGCATGTCCATGAAAAAGTAGGAAATAAGGAGCCACTGTTCCTGGTTCCTGGCACTGGCAACAAAGATGGAGAGGGGACAAGCCATGCAAGCGAAAGCCAGTTTAGAGCCCAGTATCCTGAGACACCTTCTTAACAGAACAGAGCTTGATACCTTCAGTTAAGTACTGCCAGACTCAGTTAATTCACTCCTCCCAGGAAGAGGCAGGAATACCCTCTCTTACACAAAACTGGAGTCCAGAAAGCCAAGAGACCACCAGTCACACCGGAGTGTTGGCTGTGAGCCATTTACTGCTGCTACCCTCAGTTTGCTTGTCTACACAGCCAACACTCAATAACATTCCTGACACAGTGCACAGAATCGAGGCCTTCTGTCCTGGCGGGGGAACTGGAAAGCTTGCCTCGGTCTGCAGGAAGTGGACCTGAGCACCCAGAAAAGGTGGAGGAAGCTTGCAGGGAGGTCATGGTTTCCACGGGGGTAAATACTTGGAGCTCACGAAGATGGGCCCCCGCTGCTTGCACTTACCTGTCCTGGTCTCACCTGTGTGTAGGTCACTCTTGGTAACACCTACACATGGGGAAAGAAGAGAGCTTAAGAGAAGCTGGGAAAGTGGGTGGGTGGTTGGAGGAGAAGACCAAAGGCCCCAAACCAGGATAGAGATGTGGGCCACTGAGGGCTGGGGAACCAAGAGAGGTCTCCATAGGGTGCAGCATCTAGGCCAGGATGAAACTGGGCTAGTACTTCACACCCCACTCCTCCACGGCCTTCCAGGGTACCTACCTGTGGGGGCAGAGGCCACAGGCCTTCAGGACAACGGGCTCCTGCCTCCTCCACCGGCTCAGTCACTACCACCTGTGGATCCAAAGAGCAGAGCTGGGCGTTGGCCTCCACAAGGGCCCGGCCGTCTTCATAAAGGGGATTGCTCGGCTCCTCTCGGAGGGCCATTACTTCCAGGACGAACTTTTGGCAGAGCGCTTTGAGATCCCCTGAAGCCTTCCCCATGAGCGGGTCCCGTTTACCTCTCTGGGACCCAGGAACCCCGCTAGGGCTGCCAGGAGAAGCAGAGGGGCCGAAGGCAGAGGAGGCACCATTTCAGTTCCGCCCGCCGTCCCGCCAGCTAGTGAGCGCGCCGCCCGCCTCGGCCCAAGCGCCCCCGCGCTGCTCGCGTGCCCACGTAGACCCCGGGCCC